GCAGCGTCGGGAGCTTCCCGGGAAGCGGCTGCTTCCGGGAGGGGGCGCCCACTCTCCTGAGATTGCCCCTTACCTGACGCGAAGACCTTTCTCTCTTTTTGCCTTCTCAGCTCGGGGGGTGAGGTACTTCTCTAACCTACTTCAGGACGCTCGTCGCCTGAGGAACCCGAGCCCCAAATTGTCCTCTTCTTCCTTGCACATCCCTAAACCCACAGAGCGCATAATCCCAAGGAACACCAGACCCCTTTCCCCAGTAAATTCCTTCCGTCCATCCCCAGAAGATCCCTCTTTAAACTTTTCCAAAGGCTCTCTCACCCCTAACACCTTGTTCCGGGACCCTCCTCTCACCCCTAGCCCGAGGAGTCTCCTAGCCACCACCGTGGGGGCCCAGTTCTTTCCCTCCAACCGCTTCCTCTGAAGGCCTCGCCATCGCCTCCTAAGTAGGTTTGCGCTCCTTGAGACCCTAACTCTTCGCTAGGCGGGAGACCCTCCTTTCCTATCACCCCGTCCACCCGACCCTTTTCCTTTGAGGAGCAGAGAGGAGAGGTAAGGAGCTGGGGCGGGGGGGCCGGAGGGCACAGGGGGTGTGTGGATGGTTCGGGGTCCCACTTTTCGCCGCCGCATTTCTTCCCCGGTCGCAATGCGGACCCCTTCTGTAAGCCCACGGCGGAGTGCGGTTTTGGGAGTCACGGTGGCCGAGTGGTTAAGGCGTTGGACTCGAAATCCAATGGGGTTTCCCCGCACAGGTTCGAATCCTGTTCGTGACGGCCGCTGTATTCTTTTTTTTCCACGACGTGTTAGGGAGCCCCAGTCCCCCCGCACGTGTCTTTCTTGCACTTCCCTTTCAGTCTCGAAAAGGGAAGCCGAAAGGTTTCAGCCCTAGATTTGGGGGATGGGGGTTTACGGGAAGCTAAATTTATGCACAGCTGCTTTGGCTGCTAGACTGTAAGGCGCTTTCAGAATTCTATAACCAAGTTTGCTAGCAGAGCGTTTCATTTTTCTGGGAGGGGATAAAAAAGGATTTGATTGAAGAAGGGTTGTTTAGGTTTGTTTGGGAACGTGTGTGAGTGCCTATTTTGCAATGATTGTTAAACCTGGATTTTCAGGAAGAGAGGGCACCTCTGGATTTCATGACTAGAAGTCACTCCTTGTGGGTCTGATTACACCGAGGACCCAAGAAACCGGGCATTCTTTCATTTGGATTTCCTTGAGGAAGTGTACTTCAGGCATCACAGGGCTAGGAGGGAGTAGCCTGTTGAAACATGAACACTGCAGATCTAGCCGGGATGCGGGAAGATAACTGTTGCTTTTTATTGAGTGCTTATTATGTGCTAGGCACTGTTCTAAATGTGTATTAACCAAACTAGGGCATTAATCTCTTCTCTAATCTGTAGCCTAACGTCCTGTACTCACTTCACCCTGCTCTTCCTATCCCCTAATTTCTGATTGTGGGAAAGAGCTCACTGAGGATGTGCTTTTCATATGTTTATTTCCTGCATAACAGCATCTTCTCTAAGAAGGGTCTGCAAAGGGCAAGGGGTTCAAGGGTAGTTCATAGAACTTCCTACACATTTATACGTTGGAGTTTCTCACTTTCATACCTTTGCTCATGCTGTTCTTTCCAGGATTACTTCCCACTGTCCCTCCCTATTATCACTTTCCAAAATCCTACACATTCTTTAAGCCCCTCCTCTCTGATGCTCCTGATCACTCCAGCTGGAATTTATCAGTCTACCACCACCATGCACTGAGTTGCCTGCAGGGCATCTCCCTTGACAGACCTCTGCAAAATAAATATCTATGGATATACCAAAAAAAAAACAAAAAAAAAAAACAAACCTGTTTCCCTCTAGTTGATTCTGACTCATCGACCCTATAGAATAGAGTAGAACAGCCCTAATAGGGTTTCCTAGGAGCAGCTGGTGGATTTGAATTGCCCGCCTTTTGGTTAGCAGCCTCACTCTTAACCACTGTGCCACCAGGGCTCCTTTCAAATTCTATATATCCTACTTCCTAAATATCTTTCAACAGGACCCCTGGTGGTGCAGTGGTTAAAGAGCTTGCCTGCTAACCAAAAGGTTGGTGGTTCAAATCCACCAGCTGCTCCGTGGGAGAAAGATGTGGCAGTTGGCTTCCCTAAAGATTTATAGCCTTAGAAACCCTGTGGGGCAGTTTTACCGTGTCCTTATAGGGTCACTATGAGTTGGAACAGACTTGATGGCAGTGGGTTTGGTTAAATATGTCTCAAGTCTGTCTCTCAAGTGTGAGTGCAGGCTGGGCCTACCACTTACTAGAGCAAGATACTTAACCTCTCGGGGCCTTTATCTGGAAGTAGGGGTAATTGTGAGGGCTGCATCCAAGCTGACCTTAAACCCTTTGTTGACTGCTTTGGCTGGCCCCTTTTCTCTCACTGCTCGTCCGTATTCACTAGGTTCCACTTAGTGGCATTCTTTAAGTTCCTGGCACACAGTCTTGTTCATGCTGTTCTCTGCCTGAAATGCTTTTTTTCATCCTCACCTTCTACTCAGTCTCCACTTATATGTTGGTTCTCCTGACTACCTGTTGCCAACCACATCCTATACCCTAATTTTATTTAAAGTCTTTCTTCCCTGGTAGAATGTAAGGTAGAATATAAACTCTGGCACATATAAGCCATTCAATTCAAAAAATATGTTGACTAAATGGATGTTTTTTATAGTAGTCACATGCTGTTGTTGTTAGTTGCTGTCGATTCCGACTCATGGTGACCCCATGTGCAACAGAACAAAATATTGCCCAGTCCTGAGTCATCCTCACGATAGCACCATGTTTGAATCCATCCTTGCAGCTGTTGTGCCAATCCTTCTCACCAAGGGTCTCTCACACCCTTGTTGGCCCTCTATTTCACCACTTCACCAATCATCCTCTAGTGATTGATCCTTTCTGATGACATGTCCAAAGCAAGCGAGTTGGACAGTGTTCTGTTGTGATCCCATGAGGTTTTCATTGGTTAATTTTCAGAAGCAGATCTCCAGACCTTTCTTCCTAGTGTCTTAGTCTAGAAGCTCTGCTGAAACTTGTCCACCATGGGTGACCCTGCTGGTATTTGAAACACCAGTGGTATAGCTTCCGGCATTATAGCAACATGTAAGCCACCATAGTACAACGAACTGACAGTTACGTGTACATGTTTTAATCTTCACCCAGACTGGATTATAAGCTTCTTGAGAGGGCTTTATTATTTTCTTTGTGTCTCATCTAAATGGCCTTAAGCATAGATGTGATGAAATATGTACTGAGTGAATTAATAGGCTCAGTAGTAGTAACAAACTCAGTATTCCACTTCCTACCAAATTTCAGTTTGTGCATGTACTCACTTAAATATCTGGAGAGCCAATACCAAAACTGACCAGCAGAGGGCAACCGATAACTGTGTTGTGAAGGGAGAAAACACGGATCCATGGTTTACAAAATGGAGGATCTGGATGGAGGAGAATCTGGCAGAGGTTGATCATATACATCCCCTGTAACTTTTGCGGGTGAGAGGCCAAGACTTCTGCCTTCATATACAATAGATAATTTTTCAAATTTTTACCATTCCCATGGCCCACCCTAAACTCCTTGGCCCTTTCCCTTCCACCCCAACAAATCCTCTGTCCCTATATCTTTGTGTTGCATCATCTTACCCCCTTTCTCTTACATATTTATTCCACTCACTGGCATTCTTTAGTTCCTGGTGTACAGTAGGCCTTATCTGCGCTAAAGTTACCTTCTCCACTTTGCATTCCTGCTCATTTCAATCTCCTAAGGAACCTTCCATAACCATCCTTCTCATAACACCTTCAAATTCTTCTGCTCTGCTAGATTAAGCCTTCATGAATTCGGAACAAACAAAACCCCCCCTTCACTTGACATTTCCAAATTACCACGTTGTTTTTCTACTTTTACCTTTCAAATAAAATGTATACTCGCTACCTACAGCTTCATACAACCTTAATACCCTTGTCATCTGCTTTCTGCCTCCTGAAAATTTTTAGACATTAATAGAAACCATCAACCAAATCCAGTAGTCTTCTCAATCTCCATCTTTCCTATGTTTGAAATCATTTATTTAAAAAAATCATTAGGCCTCAAAGACATTATATTTTCTCCTCAGAACACTGCTTCTCCATCTCATTTATTTTCTCCCTCCTGTGGAAGTCTTATCAAAGCTCCATTCTTCTCCCTTCTCCTAATATCTCAAGCCACCTTTCCAGGCATGACCTCTTAGCCAGACCATGCTCCTGTATTTCCAGCTGCCTACATGTCTGCAGAGCTGGCCTACTGTCACCAAAAAGGGAAGCAAAACGTCTCTTCCTCTCTCAGAATCACATTCTCAACTTTTCCATTTCCATTGAAACCATTCTTCTCTCAATTCCTTCTAGTGTTTAACCTTAAGAATTATTTGACATTTTCTTTTCTCCTGTGCCTATCATTCACCAATTACTGCTTCATCTTAATTCGTGTCTTTGTTACAATGACCTTTAAGGTGTCCCAGTTTCATCACTTAAAGCCACCCTACACTAACTAGTGTGATTACTCTAAAACCTGGTTTCATCATATTATTCCCCTGCCCAGGAACTTCAGCTCCATCTGAGCAAACACAAATTCGTCAACTTACCCTGCCTAAGTTACCCATTTCCCCCCAACTAATTCTTTCCAGTTATCTCTACATAATTAGGCTGGTCATTTCCATGTGACAGCCTAATTCCTGTCTTCTCTCTCCTCACCTTTATAAACAACTAGCTAATGCCACTCTATACTGATCTTTTCAGCTATACATTCTTGTATCTTATAAAAATTGCTTTTATGTGACTAGTTTAAAAAAAGCTAACACGAGGGGAATCTAACACACAAGAATTTAATATTATCCCCTTCCAGGTTGTTGACTTGTTCCAAATTTTAAGAGGCTTCCATCTCCGCAGTTTATCCAATAAAGCAAATCATTAGTGGACTTGTGAGTGAAATGATCTCAACCTACACTTCTTCCAGGGAACTCCTTCATAGCTAGTTTATGGGCCACATGGAAATGATTCATTACTTCAAAATTAAAAAAAAAAATTGAAACATTAGCTATAATACATCTACCTTCTAGATTTTGTTCTAGATTAGGTCTGGAAATCCAAGGTCCTATCCTTAGCCTCCTCCGCTGTTCTCTCCTCTCGTGTTTGCGCTTACTTCTAAAGTTTCTTTATCACCTCTGGGCAGACAACTCCCATGGCCACACTGTAAGCCCTAACTTCTTGCTCTTAAGCTCCAAGCTATTTCCTATTTCTGGCTAAACCTGTTTATGTGGAAGCACTTCCAACTCAGTGTTCCCCAAATGAGCTCATTACTTCACCCCTAAAACCTGCTCCTCCTCTTCTACCTATCAGGTTAATGACACCATTTTCTCATCCACAAGACTAGAAACATCAGTCTTCACCTGTGATTCATCACTGTTTATGTGCCTGTTGTTATGTGCAGTGGTTACAAGCTAAGACTCAGGAATGGCTTTCTGGGTTTCCCAGTTCTGATTATTAGCTGTATGAATTTTGTCCCTACATAGAAAATGGAGATAATAGTACCTCTTTATAAAAAGTTGTCGGGATGTCTAAGTTAATGTTTAATACTTAGAATAGTGCCTGACTCACAGTAAATGCTCAGTTGGCATTACCTCCTTTACTGCCAATGTCCAATCCTGTTCAGAACTCAACTCCACTGATTCCTCTGAGAAGCCTTCCCTCCTGCATCCCACCAGGTAGCTGACCACTTTCCTCCTTGTCCCATTGTACTCAGTCCATATCTATTAGCAACAAACTGTTCTATATTTCCCATTATTTATTAAAGTGTATGTTACCTACTATGTCTTACTCTGCAAGTGTCTTCAAAGTAAAGACTCATTTCTCAATTATTTGCATATTATATATCTCATGCCTGGCACCATGTCTGGGACATGACAGGTGTACTATAATTGTTGGCTGAGTCAATCTAATCAGTAAGACCTATCAATTTTTTCCCCCATTTCTTGCCTTTTCCTGCTGTATTTCAGGTCAAGTCCTCTCTTGTATGAATTACTGCAAAGCTTACTGATACTATCGCCACCGATTTCTTCCTCCCTTCACAATGCCACCAGAATTACCAGTTATAAGTCATTTCTCACAAACCTACCTGCAAGAGAAAAGTCCCAGTTCTATCCTACGCATTCAAGGCCTTCCAAGAACTGGCCCCGTATTATCCCTAGTTTTATCTTCCATTACTTCAACAAACTGTGTTCCAGATTACACTATTATCTTCCTTCTTCAACATTATCCTTCACTTCCACTTATCTTTATTCATGCTATGATCTCAGCCTACACAGAGCTTGCAAACTGGTGGACCCCAGATTTTTTTTTTACCCAAAAGCATTTTTCTTACAAATTTGAGCCAACATTTAAAAACTGTGAGATTTAGTATAAACACTAGGATTTCCAGAGTTTCTTGAAAACTCATTAAGATCTGGCCACAAAACAAAATTTGGGGTTCACTAATTTGCAACCTAGGTTTTAGGCTGAGATCACAGCATGAAAAAACCCAAGTGGAGGTGAAGGCCACACTGAAGAAGGAAGACCACGTTCCCTGATCTTGCACAGCAGCCCCTTCCTTTCGGGGCATGTACTCATCACCTAGCCACATTTCTCTATACAGCTGTACAATGAGGAGATCAGGCTAATCGTGGGACAACTGGACATATATCCTGATGTCACACAATATAAGAACACCTCTCCTGTGATGTGTTCAATCCCCAAACCAAAACCAAACCCACTGCCATCCAGTCGATTGCAACTCATAGAGACGCTGTAAGGTTTCCAAGGCTGTAAATCTTTAGGGAAGCAGACCGCCGCATCTTTCTCCCTCAGAGCCACTGGTGGTTTCGAATCGCCGACCTTTTGGTTAGCAGTCGAGTGCTTTAAGCACTGCACCACCAGGGCTCATTCAGTCCCCAGAACTGTTTAATTTGAATCTCTCAAGACTTTAAATCTAATTTTGTTTGTAGTAAAAATAGGAGCTTAGAGGAACAAGCTCAAGGACACTCAAGAATCCGTCCGTCAAATCTCTTCAAGTTAATGTTACACAAAAGTAAGGTGGTTCCCGGAATCCAGACTAAGAGGGTAAAAGAGTTAAGGCACATAACCTGACGTACTGCATGGTCCTCCAGGTGTGGACAAAAACTAGCTATAAAGGACTTTTCCTGGGGCGATCGGGGAAATATGAGTAGGGGTTTTGATTTTAAGCCTTTGTTATTTTGGCAATGTAGGAAAATGTTGTGATTTTCCAAATACATACACTGAAGTAAAAAATTAAGAGCCAATCCCCCCACCCCATTGCCTCAGTTCTCTTGACCTTAAAAGTTTAGAATGGGTTGGCAAACTCTTTCTGTAAAGGGCCAAGTGATAAGTATTTTAGGCTTTTTGAACGATAGTTCTGTTACAGCTGTTCAGTTCTGCCATTGTAACACAAAAGCAACCATAGACAATACATAAACAAATGGGCATGGCTGTGTTCCAATAAAACTTTTTTACAAAAGCAGGCAGCTGTTGTGAGCCATACTTTGTCGACCTCTGATCTAGAACACTACCTCTTCTGAAACTCATCAGAATCATTGGCTTTATCTTCCCTCTGATCACGTACTACTTGTAAATCACATTATACCTTATTATATTCTTGTCTCCACTTAGGAGTAAGTTCTTTGAAGGCAGGTGCCAGGATCAGCCCCTCATTTCCATCCTAAGGAGTTACCGTGAGAGTAGACATTCATTGTTTCCAAAACGCAAATTTACCCTAAAAGGAAGATCTGCATCACTCATGACATTAAAAAGAATGAGCAGCAGGTCCTGAAAATAATTTTGAAGCAGTTTCAGAAAAAAATTTAAGCACTACTGGCCTCACTAGAGTCCACGCTCTTAAACTCTACAGTGTGACGTGTTCATCATTTTATAATCATTCCGTGTGCATGAGTGTAGCAGATTCATGCCTTTTTTTTTTTAAACTCCCTAGAGTATCTATAGAGTCCTATTAGATTTACATGAGGTGCATGATAAATAAGGAGCCCTGGTGGCACAGTGGTGAAGCACTCAGCTGCTAATGAAAGGTCAGTGGTTCAAACCCACCAGCTGCTGTGTGGAAGATGTGGCAGTCTGCTCCTATAAAGATCTATAGCCTTGGAAACCCTATGGGGCAGTTCTACTCTATCCTATAGGGTCACTATGAGTTGGTATCAACTCGGTGGCAATGGGTTTGGTTTTTGCATGATAAATGCTCAAATTTAAAATACAGTTCTGGGGGGAAAAAGAATTCCTGTCTCATGACGGAGAAGGTGATGGCAAATGCCCATAAAAAGGGTTTATCCAGGTCTGCCCACCACAGCAGGCACAGGTGTTTCAGGTTCCCTCCCTCACATTTGTGTTCGCAGTTAGGGGATCCGGGGGTAGGGGGGAGGCATCCCTGCCTGCGATGGAATCCTACATTCAGAAGCAAAGGTGTTTATAGGGGGCATGGGATTTGGGATAAGGGCAGGCCCTAGAAAGAGCACAATTCAAATCACTGGAGACAGTTTTGGCTGCTGTGGGAGACAAGAAGGATGTAGGAGGGTACGCTCCTCCCAGTTAGATATCCTCCTGTAACAGAGGTTAGTTCTAAGACAAGGGTAGGTTACAAAGCAAGGAAGGAGTAAGGGGAATTAAGGTGAGAAAGACCAAAGCAGAAGAGAAAACGTCACAAGAAGGGGAGTGATGTTGAACTAAGAATTTAGAGCTGAGTAAAAGGTTTATTATTAGTGCAGTCAACACCATGGAACAGCACATACAACACAACCAGCAACCTGCAGAGACACTAGTGCAAAGGGTAGGAAAGACTTCAATGAGTGTCCTGGCTCAGTGTGAGGGAGAAGACAAGAGAACATGGGCCTGGGTAAGGCAGGCAGGGGCGGAGGAGTAGGTGCAGTCCAGACTAAGTGTAGCAGCGTTTTCAAATTCCTGAGCACAGTGTCCTGGGGCTGGAGCACATGAAGCTTCCCTAATCCCCTCAAGCTGGATCCATTCGCCCCAATCCCAGTGGAGCCATGACCCAATTACTTGGACCTACAGCAAGCCGGCCTGCAATAAAACTCCAGAGAGAGAAGAATCTGTTACAGTATGGTGGGGAGGAACCTGTCTCCCCAGCCCTACACCCACCTGCATATTAAAATAATCACACCTACTATCCTTCCCCTTCCCTAACTCTGCCAGTCACCGTAAGGATCAAGGAATGCCCCCAGGTAGCTGGAAATGAAGCTGAAGTCCTCAGGGGGGATGGGTGAGGCAGAGCACAGCCTCATCTCAGAGGTGACCAGAGACAGAATTTCTATCCCATCTTGCCTGGGGAAGCTTAGAACCGAGCTATGTATCTGCAAGGAAGAGGGAGGGACTGCCTTTCAAGTTAATACTTTAACCCCAGAGTCTTAGCATGAGACTCTGGGAGGACTGGGAGCAAAGTTCTCCAGGGGCACAGGCATCGATGCTGGGCTGGCACGTCCGTTGCCACCACATGGGAAGCTCCTCATCTCAGACGGGGTTACTGTGGTTGGGGGCCGACGTCAATTGTTCAGCCAGAGACTCCCCTGACTCTTCCTATGTTAAAGCCAAAGGCTGTGCTGAAAAGGAAAAGTATAAAACAGACCCTGTCCCCATCCCACCCTATCCAGAATCCCCACAATAGGAACAGCAAAAGTTTTAAGTTTTGTTGATTGTTTTTTTTTCCTTTTTCCTTTCTTTAAAAAAAAAAAAAAAAGTAAATAAATTAAATTGCCAACAATGTGGCTGGGCTGGTAAGTAGGGTAGCCATAACCAGGTCATTCTTAAAAAAGGCGTGTGTTGGGGGGGTGGCGTGAGTGAAATATAAAACAAACAACGGCCAAAGGAAATTATCAAAATAACTACAGTCACAGAGCTGGCGAGGGGTCTGTGGGGCTATTACTGACCATGCCACCAGAGGCAGTACCACCTTACTTCAGCAAAAGCCAGAGACTCACCCCTACCCCAACCCTGTCATTCCCAAATTATGAAAAAATGTAGGGGTAAAGAGCTCATCTGGAACCATTCGGCATCCCCACCTGCACACCAGCAGGAGCCTGCACCTTTAAGGTGGGCTGAACAGGGATACTGATTGGCACAGGGAGATCCATGATGGCCAATTACTACTACCTGGCCTCACTGTTGTTAGGGTTTTGGTTCCACCGTTACCATTTATTCAGGATGTCCACTCCTCGAAGATGCCCCCTCAACGGTGCTTAGAGTCAACAGGCCTGCCTGCTCCAAATTTCCTGTTTTGGAGGAGGGGACCGATTACAGATTCCTCACTCCACCCTGATCCTCTGGGGGAAATAGACCTCTTTGTGCTTTCCAAAAATATCTGGAACTAGACCCTAGACAGGAAAACAGAGGTGGGGACCCTCCCAACCAGACTGAGCATTCACAGACATTTTAGGGGAAGAAATATGGCAAAAGGAGTGAAACTGAGTTTCCCACCTGAAAGGCTGAGCTAAGCAGCCCAAGGCCCTTCAGTGCCAGATGAGCACGGAGATGTGTGGCTCATAGGCTGTGGTGTTTAGGGTGGGAGGGGACACAGGGCCCAGCTGGTGGAGTGATAGGATTTTCTGGTTTCCATCTTGTCCTGATAGCCCGTCGGGAGCTCCTATATCTCCTCCACGCCATGCGCAAATATCATGACCAGCCCCGGCTCCTGCACCATGTCATCCCCCATATGCTGGTTCTCACAGGCCATCACAACGACAGCCTGCTTGCCAGGGATGCGCTTGGCCACGTAGTTCTCATAGTAGCGCCGGTTCATCTGTCTTGTCTCTAGTGTGGCCAGACCCTGGGGCCAGCTCCGCTCGTGGGCATTTTCGATCAGCTCGTTGACAATAGAGGCAGGACAGCCACTCTCCACCAAGGAGCGCTTGATTACAGCCTGGAGCACAGCATCCGGGGTTGAGATCATCCCTCCCCAGCGGGTCACTCTTGCCGGCTGCAGGGAGTTCACCCACCTGTGTGGAGGGGTTGGAGGTGGTCATTCCAGTGCATCCTCTTTCTCTGCATTGGCTTCTTCCTCTAACAGGAATGACCACCCACTCTGTACTCAGCTTAACCCTATTCTTCCTTCTTTCCTTCTGTCATGGGCTCAGAAACTCCAGATCTTTCCCTAGTTGGTCCCATCGGAGTCACCAAACCTTACTCACCAGATTAAATTCCTAGAGTGTAGGGCCCCTGTTATTTTTCTTTGAAATCCCAATAAGTAGCACATATAGTGCCTGACACATCGTAAGTGATCAACAAATGTTTATTAAATGAAGCAATTATTCTTCTATACTGTGCCCCACTCAGCGCTATTTACCCTATATATGTAGTTTCACACTTACAGTTTAGTCTATGAACAGTATAGGACTCCAGAACTGAAAGGGATCTTAGACTTCACTTGTTTACTTCGCTTGTTTTTGCTGCATTTTAGATCACTTTCCTGGATTTGCACTCTGTCTCTTCTTCTTTGGATTGTAAGCTACCTGAAGACAGGGACAATACCTTCTATTTCTTTTTTGCCCTCCTAGCACTCCACAGCCTTTAATACAGGGCTTTGGACGTGGTGGGTACTCACCGAATTCTGGATAAATTGCATCGTTGCGTTGGCTTTCCCTTCCATCCACCCAAATGAGTAAGAGATCCTGTACTGGGGCTGAGAGTTCTCCTCTTCTCCTCTGCCCCTGTCCTTCATCCCAACATCAGAGAAGTGGTGGCCCAGCCCAGCTCTCTTATTGCCCTCCTTCTGCCACTCCCCTGCTCTTCCTCCTTTCAGGCCTCTGTGCCAGGATGTGGAGTGAATAACTCCATGTCCTGAGTGACACTCACTCTAGAATCTCGTTGTATTCAATTGTTTCCTCCAGGTTCTGAAGGTTGGGGTTGACACTGCGGATTGCTCGCATGTATGCCTTGAGCAGCTGGATGTCTCGCTTCTGTCGGAGGGGAGGAGAACCAAGGAAGATGGTTAAGGCAGACAGTGGATCAGAGACAAAAGCTTATCTGAGAATGGAGGCAATTGAGGGATGTAGGGAATGAGCAGACTGTAAACTTTATGAGGGTGGGGATATGACTGTGTCATTCACAGCTGTATCCCCAGTGCTTAACACAGTGCCTTCACAGAGAAAGTATCTGGTAACTGTGAGGGGAATGAATGGGATGAAGGCAAGAGAGGAGAATTCCAATCTTATTCCCTACTAAGCCACAGGGAGAGTGTCCACCCACACAGGCTCACAAGCACAGGCACAGGTCTGTGTGCTCACAACTGTTCATCACCACAGGCACACGGTTATCTGCTATAAGGGACATGTTCCCCCCATGTTCTCTGGACCCTACCTGCTCCGCCAGCTGGTGTTTATGCTCAGCTGACGTCTTCTCCAGCTCTGCGATGCGTGTCTGTTGCTGCTGCACCACTGAGCGCAGGTGCTTAACGCAGTTGTGGTTTGGCAGCTCATCTTTGGGCATCTCCAGGCTGCAGCCCCCAGGGTGGGGAAAGAGCAGGACAGGGGCATTCAATGGGACATGTGGGCAAATGGCCTATCATGTGGCAGAAAATTGCTGAGTGGACTTTCTCTTCCCCAGAATTTCTAACCTTCATTACAAGCTTCCCCCTTGCTTATTCCCTTTACTTTTTCTCCAAGCTCCCTCCTCGCCTCTTTGCTGTTGCCTTTCTCTGGGCTGCTTTCTCCCCAAGCCACAGTGTTTGACCTACCGCATGGCTCTCCTTTCCTCCTACAGACTCTGCTTGTGTACTCGTTCCTCCTGAGAAGCCCTAGATTCACAGTCCCAGCTATCGGCATTTAATCAAATATTTCACACCCCACAGAAGGAAAAAAATAGGGCAAGAGGAAATATGAGAAGGCTGGAAATTAGAGTAGTCAATCTGACAAAGAGAAAGTTGTACTGGACTGAAAGGGAAGGATAAAGGAAATCAATCTTTAGCATTATTGCAGATTGCTTAACTGCAGTGCCCCTTCTTTTATGAAAGCAAGAACAAAAAGATCATAGTTGGAAAAGAAGCAAGAAGGTGAGATCTCAGGGTAGGGAGCCAGGGAGGCCCGGGACTCCCCTTGTACACATGCATAGAACTCCTCAGCTAGTGAGCAGGGGTCCAGAGACAGAGGTGCACATGGGGAAGCCCTCATCTGTGTGGGGCAGAAGGGGAGGAATCTCACCCACAGCCCTGTTCACAGGTCACAGGCCTCTTCGGGTTGTGCTCACAGTCACTGAGGTGAGACATGAGGTTGTCAAGCCGGACAACAGCACTGCAGCCAAACACAGCGTTGTCACAGGCAATCTGCAGCTTTGACAACATGTTCCGCATGATCCGAGGTACTGGGCGCAGGTGGGCGACCGTCACGACGCTACGGTCCACCGGACACGTCTGCTGCTGAGAGAACCACTGGGTGATGCAGGCATTGCAGAAAGCATGCTCGCAATGAGGTGCCTAGAAGGGAGAGCAGGGAAAAAGGGGCACGAGGGGATTAGCAGGAGCTAAAAACCTTCATATGACATCTTCACAAAGCCAATCAAACCTTTGAGCAGCTTCCAGAACCAGAGGTCCCTGGGGTCATTGCAAAGTAGATCTACTATGGGCAAGGCATTGTGGGGGCCAGACTTAAGATATGTTTCCTGTGCTCAAAATTACACATGGGCTGTGAGACAAGACAAACAAGTAAAAAGTTACATAATAAGAGCTATAAATAACATTTCAGGACAATAGGAGAGATGACGTAACGAAGTCATTTATTAATTGCCAACTGGATTGCATACACAATAACACAGAAATCCAGAGGAGGGCGAGATCTTTTCAGGTTAGGTCAATCAGGGCAGATATTTGTGGTGAGAACAGAATTTAATATGGGTCTTGAAGGATGATTCAGAGTACAAACGTAGAGAGGAGGGGTACAGAGATTTGCTGGCAAAAGTTCTATGTAAGAAAGCAAAAAATACTCTTTTGGAAGCCCAGGACTCCTATGGAGAGGTTAAGAATCCTTTCTGTGAGGGCCCAAGTTCTGATTTTATGAGGGCTGACCTGAGGTGCTGCCTGAGTCCCAAAGGCCAGATCTAGCCTGCAAAACAGGACAGGGGTTTTTCCTAGAATCACATTCCTTTCAGTTTCAAAAAGATCGTATTTCACCCACTTCCTTGGTAACTCAGGTAGCTTCTAAAGTTAATCTTTCCAAGTGAGAGGCTTCCCTGGCCTCTGTGGAGACACCATCTAACGTTTGCACGAGACACTGTAGGCACTTGGGATGCTGATGCCTGGCATGCCTACTACATCCGGAGCACTCTGTTACGTGCTTGAGATAAAAAAAAAAGATAAGCCAGTTTCTGCCCTCAGGATGCGCACAGACACCAAAGACTAAAACCTAGGAAAGCTGAGGAAAGAGGTCATTGTCAGTATCACTAATCCAAATGTCAGCAGACTTTTATTTTTCATTCAAAGACATATTTGATTCTTTGCAAAGTCCTATAGGCCCTATCTCCAAAAAAATCCTCCATCTGTCCACTTTTCTCCATCTCTACTGCCACTAACCCAGTTCAAGCTGTCATCATCTCTCACCTGGGTTATTAAAAATGTCTCCTAACTGGTCTTCCTACTTCTACTTTGCCCCTTACAATCCATTCTACATCCGGCAGCCAGAGTGATCATTTAAAAATGCAAACCGGATTATATCACTCCTCTGCTTAAAAGTTTTACAATAGTTTCCCAATAATAATAATAATAATAATAATAATAATAATAATACAGACTCCTACTCAGGACCTATCAAATTCTGCCTGGTCTGGCCCTTGTGCCCCTGACCTCTCCTCACCTCATACCATGATCCCAGCATGGGGTGTGGGCCATCCTGGCTTTCTTTCTGTTCGTTGACTATAAATAGCCCGTCCCTGCCTTAGGACCTTTGCTTTTGCTGTTCCCCTTTTCCTGAAACGCTCTTTCTCTAGATCTTAACACGAATGGTTCCTTATCACTCAGCTCTCAGCTCAACTGTCACCTTTTCATGACCACCTATCTAACCCTGCGACCCCATGCAGAAGTGTACAGAATGTGCTACCTTTTGTGTAAGAAAGATGGGCAAATGGATATATATATATACCCATTCATATTTGCTTCTATCTGCCTTAATACACACTGGAAAGATACCCAATAGACTAATAAAAATATAACTTATGGGAGGATTAGATGGACAGGGAAAGGATAGAAGTAAGAGTTCTCATTGTATACCTTTTTATACTGTTGTGATTTCTGACCACGTGAATGCATTACCCATTAAAAAAATAAATACGCGGTGGGTAAATCAGCATCCCTAGCAGGGGCCTTCTACCCTTGGAAATACGTCTGACAACCTGGTATTACACAGTTTGCTTGCCCTGCTCCTCACGAGGTAAACTCTGGAGGCTGTGGGGGTGGGGGCTTCTGACTTAAGAGAGTCGCCAACTGCCACTGACCTCTCCACATGTGACTCACCTCAAATAATAGTGCCAGAAAACAAACAAGGCCCTGCAAGGGTGGAGAGGGAACCTGATATACCCTGTGAACTCCTGACACTGCCAGAACAGCTTCCTCCACAACCTGCACGTCTGCTTCTTGTGGTAGCAAGCTGCTAAGGCCTAGACAGGAAGTACGTCCAGGGCTGGTTCCCACTGGAATGCAGTCTTGATTTTTACTCAGCTCACGCATTTGTGCTCCTTTGGGTGACTGGAAACTGGGAGAAGATCAAGGGGAACCCTTGGGAGTTATGTAAGCAGTGAATGGGGGAAGAGCTATAAGGCCTCACTGACTGGTGTCCTGGTTTGGAAAATGGGATTATTTCTAGCCAGCAGGAATGGCAGAGGATTAATTGGTATTTACAGAGTGAGGCAATGAGGACCATGCAGGATGATGTCCCATGATTACAACTGTTAAGAATTCATCCCACTCATTATACTTGCCAGGTAATCATGAATTTCTCTTCATAATTGCCTCAGGAAGATACAACTGACTGTGGCCTGGTAAGTCTGGCAATGACCTATTAAAGGTGGCAGTTTCCTGTCAAAATGCAAAGTGCATGGCTGCATCAAAAGCTGGTCTTTTCAACAGACCCCAGGAAGAAAATAGGTCAGTACACACAGTCCCCCACTTCTCATTTGTTAGACAGTAGGCAGGCAGATGAGGCCTACAGGGAGACTGGCTGATTACCTAGAGCACGACACATCATCAAAATGCGTGGGAAACTTATCAGAGGAGTCCAGAAGTTCAATCAAGGGCAGGAAGACAGAACCTAGTCAGAGTACCTGGAGTGGACCGGAAGCTACCAGGCTACTGTCAAAAGACAGAAACACATGGCTGATCATTTTACAGCAGAAAAATCTCAGCATAACCTCAGAATAAAAGCCGAATCACTGGATCTCCATGGCATCCACCTCTAGACAGACTCTGGAAGGCCCTATTCTCCTTGCAACCACTGCTCCTTTGCACCAAACCTCTACTGGGGCAAAGGGGATATGGATGAGATGGGGAGCCAGAACACAGTGGCTTCCCCATGCATCCCATTCTCTGGGCCAGTTTCTCCAATTTCTACTAGCTCCACTGCCATCTATTGCTCCACCAAACCTGCCCTCAGACGAACTCACCTGTACTGGCTCCTCCAAGACTCCACTGCAAATAGGGCAGATAAGGTCTTCGTCAACATCCCCCTGGAAGCGGGTTACATCATACCCCATGTCTCATCACTGAAACCCAAGTCCTGGAAGAGAGGAAAGAGAGGCCAGTTCAGGAGAAGCCTACAAATATGTGGCCAGCATGAACTCATTGCTAAGATGCATATACTTGTTCAACAAATATTTACTGAGAGCCTACTATGTGCCAGTCATTTGGGGGGAAAAAAAGCTGACTCAGGAAACTTGACTCTAATGGGAGAAAACATTAAATAAGCACACATTTAAAATATGAAGTGATAATGAAGTGATAAATGCTTTGACAGGGTAAGCACAGGGCATTATGACAAGGGATGTGGATACCTAACCCAGGCTGAAAGGAGAGGGTGGTTTTGAGAAGTTTTCCAGGTCTAGGCGTTACCAGAGATGAGTCCTGCAGGAGAAGCAAGAGTTAGCTAGGTGTTTGGGGTGGGGAGCACATTAGGGTTTTAGGCACATGAAAGAGCACGTTCAAGGGGCAGAAGTTCAAGGCTCACATGATGGGCTTGGGCTCAGAAAAAGGCCAACCTGAAGGATGCAAGGGATGGAGTATCAAGATATAAGGCTGGATAGGCAAGCAAGGGCCAGGCCATGAAAAGTCTTATGTAAGGAGTTGGACTTTATCTTGAAGGCTATGGGAAGCCACCGAAAGACTTAAAAAAGAGTGATGTGATAAAAGTTCCCTTTTTAAATCACTCTCAGGGGAGAGACTAGAGACAGGAAGAACGTTCAGGCAAGAAAGAGATGATGAGAGTCTGCACTTAGGTAGTACCGACTGGGATAAAGAAGAGATATTCAGGTGAGCAAGGACTCAAGGAACAGTGATGCTGCCATGCCCCTTCTTTGGGCTCCCAAGGGTCAAACCCAAAGGTGTGTGAACAATGACGGAAACCCTGTGTGCATCCAACCAGTGGGCTAACTGGATCAAGGATGGGACCTGTTACAAGGGCAACCAATCCACAGACCAGTCATCAACCTGTGATGTCCTAGAAAAGATGAACTGAGTCAATCAGACAGTTCTCAGGAATTTAGAACCAAGCTGTCCAGTTAGGAGACAGAAATTTAAAAGGGTGGGGGTCTGGGGTGCAGAAAGGCCTTAATAGGTCACATGCAAGCTAAAGTACAGTGCTGGATTAATAGTCAAAGTGGGTTGACATCCCCAGTTCTACTACTCAGTAGCTGCGTGACCTTGGGCAGGAGACGTAACCTTCTAAGCCTAAGGGTTTTTTTAAATAGGTAAAATGAGAATAATAATAGAAGTGACTCTCAGAGTAGTCCTTCAAGGAGATAATGTATGTAAAACATTTAGCAGACTGCCTGGTGGCAAATAGTAGGCACTCAGTACACGGTTGTTACCATCATTTATACATACATCTGATTTACATTACTAGATGAACAATTCTTTTTTTTAATTGTTGTAGTTTAAGGGAAAGTTTAGAATTCAAGTCAGTCTCATACAAAACTTTATATATGCATTGTTATGTGACCCTAATTGCTCTCCCTATACTGTGGCAGCACACTCTTCCTTTCTCCCTGATTTCCTGTGTCCATTCAGCCAGCTCCTAACCCTCTCTGCCTTCTCATCTCACCTCCAGACAGAAGCCACCCATTTAGTCTCATGTATCTACTTGAGCTAAGAAGCACATTCTTCACGAGTATCATTTTATGCAGATGAACAGTTCTTTAAGGGAGGGAACTTACGTTCGTATCTGCAGTCAGCATAGGATCAAGGACAGTTCCTTACGTATACGTAACAAAAATACATGGTATGTTTAAATGCTGCTTCCTAGTAGCTGGGGAATAGTGGACATCTACTATATGGTCTACCTAGCACTCCATTTTCTGTAAATGGCACCGTAATTTTCCTTTGGAAATCATACCCTGGTTCTGTAGTGTACATGTGACCCAACCGAGGACAAGGAGAGTGATGGCTGGGACTGTTATTGGAGGTCTCAAGGGGAGCTCTTTCCCCTGGGGTTGCATAGCTGGTAGAATGTGCACCCAGGGTGGTTGGTGACCATCTTAGCCATTAATGGGGAGCGCCTGCTGATAGAATGAAGCCAATAAAGAAGAAAACAGAGCTGAGATATCAAGTTCAGATGAAATCATTCGAGGTCCTGGATTCAGCCATGTCTGGAGTCACAATCACCTTTTGAATGTCTTGGTTACATGAGTCAGTGAATTTCCTATTGTGTTTATGCTGGCTTGAACTGGATTTCTGTCTCTTTCAACTAATAAAAATCCTGACTAAAGAATGTTAAGATGGCAAATATTACATTACATATATATTTACCACAATATAAAAAAAAGGAAAAAAAAAAACAAATCCTGATTAATACCCAAGGCTAATGGACACAAGAAATCACAGGGCTCCCTTTAGAACCATTAATCTCTCTCTATCCATTTATGTACAATGACACCCCATGTGACACTGATAGAATCACACCGACCTCCATCACCACCACTTCTCCATGTACTTGTTTCTCCATCTCTAGGGTCTAAAGTTCAGGGCGTTGGGCTTATTAATAATCCCTCTGAAACTGTCACTGTAAACCACATTGACCTGGCTGTTTCCTATAAAATGGTGCAGGGAGGGGGGGCATCTACTGCATATTTGTCTTCCCTCAGACCTTTGACCTTCTGTTTGTAGGCCAACAGAGCAGAACAAAATGGAAGCAAAGGATGTAATTCCCTTGAATTATCTATAAACACTGATGGATAAATATATAAGCAATGACATTAAAGACATAATGAAGTGAAATATAAACCCAGAATTAAGGCTCCTTGTGATTCTCCTGAATGCTTGTGATTCACTGAACTAAAAAGTGAGGATGGTAGTAAGAGAGCAAGAGCAGCCCACAGTGTCTTCATCTTTATATGTACCTAGATTAGACCTGTAGTAGATACCCATGGAATTTTCTACCTGGTAGCCACTTCTAGGAATTTTACTCCCTTTTTGTCTCTAGGCACATGGCCCCAATGGAAGACACATCATTAGCACTGTGAAACCTTACCCTAAGCTATCCTAGCTGATTGGACCAAGAATGAACATGTGACCCAAGTTGGGCCGATGAATCCCATCCCTGAGAGTGAGCCTGCCGCCAAGAAAGTTGAGTTGGTCTTTCTTTGGCTGTCATGTGGACTGAGAAACAGAGAAATTAGGTCTACAGAGGGAAAGAAAAGACTGAAAGAGACACAGTGAGAGGGACACAGATGAGAGCTGGAGAGAGTCCTTAGGTTTTAGAGTCCTTTGTTTGTTCCCCAGGCACAGCTGCCTCTCTGTTTTTGGCTTTTGTGAGACACCCCAGTATCCTCTTTTTGCTTAAGCTACTTTAAGTTGGATTTGTGGTTTTGTGTTCCTTATGACCAAGAGTCCTGGCTCATACAGAACAAAGAACTGCATCCTAGCTCAGAAAGTCTGGAGGGGCAAGGATGAAATAAGAGCAATGTTTCTTTAATCCTAAACCTAGTTTTAAAATGTTTAGTCAAAAACCTTACTATAAAACAATCTACATATATTCATTCAATAAACATTTACTGAGTACCATCTATATGTCAATAAGCCTAATATAACCTAGTCCCTGTAAGATAAGTGATGGGAGGTATGCACAAGGTGATGGGAAAGAACACAAAAGAGAGGGTTCTAAATCAGATGGGGGTGGGGTGGTCAGAGACAGGGTACTACAGACATTTTGGGCCAGAAAATTCTTTGTTATGGGGGCGCTATCCTATACACTGCAGAATGCTTAGCAGCATCCCTGGCCTCTACCCACCAGATACCAGTAGCATCCCCCCAGCTGTGACAACCAAAAAAGTCTCCAGACATTAGCGAATGTCCTCTGAGGGGCAAAACTGCCCATGGTTGAGAACTGCTGGTTTAGAAAGATGAGGAGTTAGCATCATGGAGCAGGGCACAGGCGTTCTAGAGCAGATAAAATAGTATGAATCAAAGAAAGAAGCCAGCAAAGAGTTTGTGTAAAGATGTGCTAGAAGAGGAGGAGAGAGTGGAGGGCAGGAGCCAAGCACTGAAGGGTTAGGGTTAGGGTTAGGGTTAGGGTTAGAACTAACCAGAAAACTGTAGGGAGCGTCTGAGGGATTTTTTTTTTTTTTGGCTTTAACAAAGAGAAATTTATTTCTTCACAGTCAAGTAGGCTAAAAGTCCAAATTTAGGGCGTTAGCTCCAGGGGAAGGGGAAGGCTTTCTCTCTCTGTCAGCCTTCTCATCAATCTTCCCCAGACTAGGACCTTCTCTGCCCAGGGACCCCAGGTCCAAAGGACACACTCTACTCCAGGTACTGCTTTCTTATGGTATGAAGTCCCCTTGTCTCTCTGCTCGTTTCTCTCTCTTATATCTCAAGAGATTGCCACAAGACACAATCCAATCTTATAGATTGAGTCCTGCCTCACTAACACAACCACCATCCTCCCTCATTAACATCACAGAGGCAGGATTTACAACATGCAGGAAAATCACACAATACGGGGAATCGTGTCCCAGCCAAATTGATACATATATTTTTTGGGGGGACATAATTCAATCCATGACACAGACCATACAGAATCTCTAGTAATGTTTTTTGTACTAATGTTACTGGCAAATCGTAATTGACGGAATTTTTTTGTTGACACAAATTTATATTTTTTTAACTTTTTGACAATTTCAGACTTATAGAACAATTAGAGGCGGGGCCAAGATGGTGGAGTAGTCAGATGCTGTTGGTAGACCCTCTTACAACAAAGACCCAAAAAAACAAGTGAATTGATTATATATGGCAATCTGGGAGCCCTGAACATCAAAGGCAGAGTTGAGGAACCGGACTGAGTGTCAGGGAGAGGGAGAGACGGTTCGGAAGCAGCAGGAGTTGCCAGACCTGAGCCGGCAAGAGCCTGAGCCCTTCAGGCCTGCTCAGCTCAGGGCTGAGCGGTGAGGCAGGCAAGTGGCGGTGCTCAGGAGGCGCATTTCCGCGCCAGGAGAGACCCAGCGCCAGAGAGTCTACTCGGCCACCCAGAACCAGTGAGAAGCAGCCCTGGATCAGCGAAAGGTAAGTAAT